TTTCATGGTAGACTTTGTCACGTTAATAAACGAATCATTTCTAATGCAAGCCACATAGGCCTAATCCCTAAACTAAATGTTAATGATTCCAATAAATGTGAATTTTGCAGTCAAGCTAAAATAACAAAAACTTCACATAAATCAATTATAAAAGAATCTGACCCCCTAGATCTTATACACTCTGATATATGTGAATTAGATGGAAGTTTAACTAGAAATAATAAACGTTATTTTATCACTTTTATTGACGATTGCTTTGATTATACTTATGTATATCTAATGAAGAATAAAAGTGAAGCGCTTGACATGTTTAAGGTGTATGTAACTGAAATTGAGAATCAATTTAACAAGAAGATTAAAAGACTTCGCAGTGATAGGGGAACCGAATATGACTCTAGCTTGTTTAATGATTTTTATGCTGAACATGGTATTATACATGAAACGACTGCTCCATACTCTCCTGAAATGAATGGTAAAGCAGAAAGAAAGAATAGGACTCTTACTGAACTTGCAATCATGTTAAATTCTGGTGCTGCACCTCACTGGTGGGGGGAAATTTTATTGACTGTTTGCTATGTCCTGAATAAAGTTCCCAAGTCAAAAAGTAAGATCTCACCTTATGAGATATTAAAGAAAAGACAACCAAATTTGTCTTATTTAAGAACTTGGGGCTGTCTGGCTTATGTTAGAATTCCGGATCCGAAACGAGTTAAACTCGCTAGTAGAGCCTATGAATGCGTATTCATTGGGTATGCAGCAAACAATAAGGCATACAGGTTTTATGACCTAAATGCCAGAGTAATTATAGAATCAAACGATGTTGAATTCTTTGAAGACAAATTTCCTTTCAAATCGAGAAATAGTGGGGGCACACAATCGAGTCACATTCCTGTGATAAAAAGCACTGAAAGCAACGACAATGTAGAAACAGAACTTCGAAGAAGTAAAAGAGCAAGAGTTGCTAAAGACTATGGGCCTGATTATGCGGCCTATAATGTAGAAGAAGATCCAATAAATCTTCAAGAAGCACTATCATCTATGGATGCAGACTTATGGCAAGAAGCCATTAATGATGAGATAGATTCTCTAGAATCTAACAAGACCTGGCACTTAGTAGACTTACCCCCGGGTTGCAAACCAATTGGTTGTAAATGGGTTTTGAAAAAGAAACAAAAACCTGATGGAACGATTGAGAAATACAAGGCTCACCTTGTAGCCAAGGGTTTTAGACAAAGAGAAAACATAGATTTCTTCGACACCTTTTCTCCGGTCACTAGAATTACATCCATTAGGGTACTCATTTCAATAGCAGCCATTTATAACTTAATAGTACACCAAATGGATGTTAAAACAGCGTTTTTAAACGGTGACTTAGAAGAAGAAATCTATATGGAACAACCAGAAGGGTTTGTAATCCAAGGACAAGAAAGCAAGGTCTGTAAGTTAGATAAGTCTCTGTATGGACTAAAACAAGCCCCTAAACAATGGCATGAAAAGTTTGATAACTTAATGATAATTAATGGGTACAAAGTGAATGAAAGTGACAAGTGCGTTTATTACAAATCTGAGAATTGCATTTGTACTATCATATGTCTATATGTAGACGATCTACTTATATTTGGATCAAACATTCAGGCCATTAATGATATGAAATCATTATTATGCAATAACTTTGATATGAAAGACCTCGGAGAAGCAAGCGTGATCCTGGGTATCAAGATCACGAGATCCGGCCAAGGAATTTCTTTATATCAATCTCACTATGTGGAGAAGATCTTAAAGAAATATAAATACTTTGATTGTAAACCTGCATGCACTCCGTATGATCCAAGTGTGAAACTGTTTAAGAACACTGGAGAAAGTGTCAAACAAGCAGAATATGCGAGCATCATTGGCAGTCTTAGGTATGCCACTAATTGTACTAGACCCGACATTGCATATGTCGTAGGATTGTTGTGCAGATTTACAAGTAGGCCGAGTAACGAACATTGGCAAGCTATTGAGCGAGTAATGAGGTACCTTAAAAGGACTATGGACCTCGGCCTAGAAATTTCCGGCTGTACTAGAAGGGTATAGTGATACAGATTGGAACACCTTATCGGATGATTCCAAAGCTACTAGTGGTTATATATTTAGTATAGCCGGAGGAGCTGTATCTTGGAAATCAAAGAAACAGACCATTCTGGCACAGTCCACAATGGAGTCTGAGATGATAGCATTAGCTACAGCTAGTGAAGAAGCAAGTTGGTTAAGATGCTTGCTAGCTGAGATTCCTTTATGGGAAAAACCTATACCAGCTGTGTTGATCCACTGCGATAGTACCGCGACTATTGCAAAAGTTGAGAACCGTTATTATAATGGTAAAAGACGTCAAATTAGAAGAAAACATAGCACTGTTAGAGACTGTACCTCTAAAGGAGCTGTGAGAGTGGATCATGTACGCACTGATGAAAACTTAGCAGATCCTTTGACGAAAGGATTAGCTAGAGAGAAAGTCCATAATACTTCCAAAAAGATGGGACTAATGCCTATAAAGTAATTTGTTACTCATGATGGTAACCCGACCTAAATGACTGGAGATCCCAAGACTTAGGTTCAATGGGTAATAACAAGTTTTGAGCAATATGAAAATGATCATGCAAGTAAAGAATGAATCCTGAAGTAATGAGAGGATGAGATAATAGAAACTCTTAATGAGATCTATACTATGTATGAGGGAGTACCTAGGCTACAAGAGTACTCTTGATAGATTCACCTATGTGACTGTGGAACTGAGGCCGGTTCCTATGGAATTTCGAGGCAGAATTCCTAGAGCATTCACTAAACCGGGATACACGTGCAGTGCCACTAAAGCACGGGCTACAAGAATACACCTTATGGAAAGGTTGTGTGCGGGTCTGATGCCCGAGATAGAGGTCAAGACAATGGTGTCACTCTTGTTGAATCAGAATCCTACTCGCTACGCTAAGGTTCAAGTCGTAGACACCTTTGCTTATGCTCAGCCTTAGAAACGTCTGACGTACTTCAAAAATCTCTTTTAAATTCAAGTGAGGGAATGTTGGAACTTTAATTGATTAGAGTGGGAATTGGAAACATTTGTTGACAATTAATGAGCAATAAATGAATACAAGTAAGAACTAATATAGAAGTGAATTTGAAAAGATTCATTTTTAGTCCCACATTGAAGGGAATGAAAATTAAGATTCATTTTAGTCCCACATTGAAGGGAATGGAAATTAAGATTCATTTTAGTCCCACATTGAAGGGAATGAAAATTAAGATTCAATTTACTCCCATATTGAAGGGAATGGAAATTAAGCCTTACTAGCTGCCTATAAATACAGGGTAGAAATTCAGTAGTGAGCACATCGGATTTCACAAATTCACACGAATTTTGATTTCCTTCTTCTCTCCCTTTATTCTCTTCATCTTACAAATTTTTTATTTTCTTAACTGGTTATTTGCGCCAGATACTAATTTAGAAAGGTGTATTTCTAGAGCGATTTATCAGTGTGCAACTGATAATCGTAAGTTTTAAGAACGGGCTGTTTTATCCTGGAGGCGTCGTCGTAAATCGACTGCTTTGCATAATTTGGCAGTACGGCGAAACGTCTTAAAGAAAGCGACCTAGTACGCGACTCGTCCCGATAATTTCCTTGTGTCAAACTCAATTTTTTAAATCCGAAAACAACAAAATGTTATGTTAGATTTAGGTTATATTTATGTTATGTATTCTGTGTATGTGATAACAAAGATCTATGTTAATGTTATTTTTGTCTCATATTATTGATGTATTATGTGTTTATGATGATAGAGGTTAATAGAGATTTCAATATTCAAACAAATACTTAGACTAAATTGATTGTTTATTTTGTTTTATGTCTACGGGATAGCAAATGGTGAATTCAAATTTCAATATATGAACATATTTTTTATTTGTATTTGGCGTGATAAGGGTATGGCTAAATTTCAAAATCAGAATTTAAAGATATTTTAAATTTTTTATCAAAGTGAATGAGTGAGTAAGACATGAAATGTAGCCCTTTCATTTTATTACACCTTTTCATGTGGTTGTCATCCTAGTAGTAGTTGAGCCGGTTCAGCTTGTAACAGTTATACTACATCTTCTCCCTGGCTGGCCACTGGTGGGGTTAATACCTTTTGGCTTCCATCTTGGCAACAAATGGTGATTTTGAACAACTTTTTGGAAACTAAACTTTGTAAACCATTTTCTTAAAATAAAATTTGTGTTAGTTTTACTTTATTAACAAAGAGAAAGGATAATTTTAAAGTGATTCATTGTGATGGAAAATATGAAAATAACTTTTGATATTTTCGTTGTTTTTGAAAATGCAACACATTAGTTCAACACAAAGTTCTCTTTTCTCATTGTTAATAAGTAAAATAATCACAAATTTTATCACATAAAAATACAAATGTTTTCACAATAGACAGACACAAAATGCGTTGTAGATATGTGTTCCAAATTGCTCCAACTAAAGCATGTGAGAACTAGTTACCAATGCTGTGTCTAACAGAAGCTTGAACCACTTTAGATTATTTGCTAAATCTACATTCCACAATCATGGTACATAAGCTACAGAGTTGATTTATTTGCCAATCAATAATATTACACAGAATATTTCGTACCAGTTACAGGCAATATGCCTATAAATCTGCATATATATGCCAATCCTGCAAAGGACAACAACTTGTGTAGGAATCTCCATAAGCATTAACCTGTCAATCAAAAGTATTACACTGCATCTCAACATCGAATAATAATGTACACAGATACATAGATATAAATTTCAATAATTTATTAACAGTGTAAAGATTTTTTAGACCGTCAATCATAATGGTTAGAAGTGTTAGATTTTAATCATAGTTGTTTTAAAAGTCGTCCACAATTTGTTGTGATTTACTGACCGTGCAAAACTTTTTACCCTGATAGTGTATCAAAATTAAACTATTTTCTCAATAGAAGCGTACCGAATTTATCAAGTACCACGAAGAGCGCGGACACCATTTTGAATCAGGTTCCTCTCCCAGTCTGCTATATCCTCAAAAGCATGGTCTGGAAGACTCTCAAACGGCTCCTTCCAAGGATCATTCTTAGCCAAATCATAAGTAGCTCCACGTATTGCTTTTTTATTCGGTCCGCAAGGTCTCTTTGAAGTTAGCATATCATATGCTTCATTTAGCTGTCAAAGAAGATAAGGCCATATTCATTGTGAAAAAATTAGTACCTGAAGAAACCTTTAAAGTTAATCTCATCTATCAAATTGATTTTGATGTAAATTTTCTACTTTTATTTTCTTGATTCAAAGATAATGTGAAGGTTTAAGACTTACATTCATGTCACAAAACCAGAACAAATAAGCTATTGCTACTGCCGGAGCTCTTCCGAGTCCTGCCGTACAATGCACATAAACTTTTCCTTTTCCCTCAGAAATCGCCCATTCCAAAGATGAAACTGCTTTAGGTAGCGCACTTCGCAAAGAGTTTGGATCAAAGTCTACTGCCTAACAATGCAAATAAACAAAATGTAAATGATAATTCAATCAAGAACAGGTAAGCAACAGATTCAGGAAACTCGGAACTTTCTCAAGACTCAAAATAACTTTTCTGATATGGTACATTGTCAATAGCAGCAGTAAAAGTATATGGAACCTTGAACTCTGCATAAAGATTATTATTAGCCATAAAAACAGATCGAAAGGAGCTTGTTTACTTACCGGTCTCCTCATGTGCCGAATTTCAACTTCACGACACCTTTTTATTATTGACTGCAAGTCTATTCCCCAAAACTCAGCATCTTTATCTTGTTGCAAGTTTAGAATGTATGCCACACCTTCTTCATTCTTAAGGTGATCTACATCTTCAGGTTTCTGTGGTTGGGACCCCACAATCAAATTGTCAGTTATAACTGTATAATTCATACCTGAAATTAAGCATCAATGATAGCATCAGTTGGATGGAAAAGTTATGTTTGTAATAATCAAAATTAAGTCAGTTCAGTTGGTAGTTGTACAGAAACATCAGTGTACAGAGACATCAAACTGCAGGGACGCAGGTTTGAACCTGTGACATCCCACACCACTAGACTACTTGACAAAAAAATTAAAATTAAACATCATCTAATGGAACAGTAAGCAACAAAAAACCAATATGTTAGAACATTCATTCATTCATTTATTCCTAACAAGAGTGTTTATAATAATAATCATAGTAAACATGAAGTAGCAACTGAATTCACAGATCAAGTATCAAAACAAATCAGGGATAAAGAGATGAGACTAACCCAGATCATGATGATACTCATAAGGATTCCTCATCATGCTCTTCATAGCTATATTGTATTCTTCCATCATATCCTTAGATTTAGAAACTTCAGTCCCACTTTCTGATAGTTTACAACAGATTTTGTTCACCCTAGTAGAGTAGTAGTTCAGAGGAACTGTAAAACTGCATGGAGATTTGTGTTTCCTTTGTTTTGAAAGTGGGTCTGTGTTCAAAGAAACTCTGAATAATGAAGAGAAACCAATGTTACTAACAGTTCCCATGTCTTGTTGTTTGATTCTCTTGTTTTTGATTAGACTCGTGTTTTTGTTTTTGTTTGTGTTTCTCGCACGTGATTGATGATGAGGTTGTTTTGACTAAAATGCCCTTGAACATCAATCAAACGTAATTGGGTAGTGATAGAGCAATATATGGCTTACAAGTTGCAGTTGAGAACGTGTTGTTCATATGAAATCATAGAATATATTTATTTTTCTTTTCTTTTCAAAAGTATGGGCTAAAAGATTGGGTTTCTCTCCTATGAACTTTTTAAAAAGTGTTTCAATTGATAAACATTTTTCGACATTACTTAAAGATAATTTCTTTTTCCACTCTATATATTTTAAAACTATTTCACAAATTTTTAAAATGTTTTTTGTTTTTGAATATATGTCTCTGAACACACTAAATATAAGTATTTCATTCGTTTTTAAATCACCTTCAATTTTATAAATAAATTTATTTTGGAAATATATCTCTAAAAAGTTTTTGAAAATATATTTTCAAAATCTCTTAAATTTATTAAACACCTTTATGCATACGATCATTTCTTATCCTTTCATTTATACTGCACTCATTCTTTGAAATCTCATTCATTGCATTGCATCAAGGGTTCATTGTTTTCATCTTTATGTGGGTTCTAATGAAGAATAAGAAGAATATGTTATCCTTCAATTTTGCAACTTCCTATGTTGCATCTGTTCATCATCTCTCCATTGTTGATTTCATTAAATTGTTTGTATACTCTATTTTGATTACCTTCTATATCTTTATGTTTTTCTCGGTCCTAGAGATATGAAGTTCTTATAAGTATAAAATAACTCGTTGCAATCCTTATTCTGATGATTAATTTATTTGGTTGTTGTACCCAGCATATGAAGATTGCTCTTTGGTGTACCGGATATGAATTTTTGGATAATGTGAGATCTCACTTTTCCAATAGTTCATCATTTACCTGGGATAAATCAATTGTGATGTTAAAAGTCCAAACCCATGAACAAGCATATTATTACGCCCAACGTCAAATTAAATTATTACCTCAATTGTAACTTCTTCTATTGTAACTAATAAGAAAGAAAGAGATACTTTGTTTTTTTAGTTCTCGAAAATACATTTCTGAAAACTTTTCTGAGATGTATTTTCAAAATAATTTTATTCGTTAAATTGGTGTGTAACTCAAAAACAAATGAAATTCGTGTATTGGGTGCGTCCGAAGATATATCTCTAAAAATTGGGGACATTTTTGGAAGTTCGCAAGGAGTCTAAGAGATATATAGTGTGAGTTAAGAAACTCTATTACTTTATCTATTATATGGAATGAGGGTGAACACATTGAAAATATTTTTTTTTCTTTTTATATTTCGAAGACGCATCTTTGAACGTATCTAAAATGCACACAACGTTTCATAAGTTAGTCATCCACCCTATATTTGTCAAAAATGGTCCAGAGATCCATCTACGGAATCACTCCAAAAAATTACATAGATCCATCTCCGGATTAACCACTGCAAATACTTTGTCCTTCACAAGTGAACCACCCACCCTAAATTTGTAAAAAAAATGGTTTAGAGATGCATCTTCATAATTTTTTAGGGGTGATTCTGTATATGCATATCAGAAATAACCCCTGGGAGCATTTGAGTGTTTTGGCCTTGGCAGCAAAAAGTGTCCCAAATTGATATTTTTTAGGCCATTTACACTAAGTGAATGTGCCGAGAAACACAAGAAATGGGGGTTTGAATTAGGTTTCTAAAAAAAAAGCTTTTTCAAAACCAACTCAATCAAGCAAAACAGGAACAATAAAACTAACAAGTTATTTTTATACTGGTTTGCTGTTAACGAAACTACCTCCAATCCATCCTACCAAGGTGATTTTTCCTTCTCAAGAAGGACTTAATCCACTATAACTGAAACTGATTATAGACACCACAAAGATAAACTGTCTTAGTCTTCTTGAGTATATTTGACTAAACCCTAGTCACTCGAAGAAACCACTCAAACAAGATTGAGATTTACAAGTTGTGTTTACAAATAATGCTTCTAAGAAAGCAGATTAACACAAGATTAATACAATGAATATCTCACACAAAAACAAGAAACAACTCTATGTGTATTTACAAAGAATATACACAGAAAATAATATTTATTTTAGAAAAGTGTGTATGTTCAATAGCGTGAGCAATGCAATAGCAACTAGCAGGATCTTCCAATCGTCTAAGTCTTCTTTATATCAGTAGATAAAAGATCAGTTGGAGGGTAGAATTGGAATTGCATATTGTAGTTGTCTCTATCATAACAATTTGCAAATGTGAGGAAAAATGGTACAATAGTACTGTTCTTAGCCCACAAAATCAAGGTAGTTGAGCAAAGGGTGACTTTGTACCGTGTACTATTTTCCTAAGGAAAAACCTTTTGATATAATGATGTTGAGACATGCTTAGAAGGTTCAAGAGACAATTGAGAGAATATTCAAAACCTCGGCCTTTAGAGTCTTAACACAGTTCCTGAAAACATGGTCTTTAGAGTCTTTAGATCTTGTCCTTCAGAGCTTCAGAACTTAAGCGTAGAATCTTGAAGGCAAACAATCATTCAGAGGCTCTTCAATCAGAGTCACAGTCAAAAGCTTTAGCATGAACATTCTTCAGAATCATTGTTATAGAGCTTTCTAGAACTTGACAACATCTTATAAAGCACTTGTATCTCTTCAGAATCTGAGTGTGTTGATTCCAGAATTTGATGAAGTCACAAGTCAAAGCTTCAGAGTCAAAACCTATTTAGCAAAAGCTACACACTAGACAAAAACTATTAGTGTACAAAATTGTTCTCTAAGAACCAATGCATTGTTATCATCAAAACTAAAGGCCAGATGTAGAACCAAATCTTGGTCTAACAATCTCCCCTTTTTTGGTGATGACAAAACCATGTATTTTGACGAATAATTTTTACTTGGTTTAATCACATAAAAACATCAGAGTAAGGTTTATAAGCTCCCCCTAAATTTCATATTGTTAAAAATTATTTTTCAGCTTATAATGTCAGAATTAGGTTTGCAAGCTCCCTCTGAATTTAAGTCTTAAAATAAAAGTTTTAAAGCAAAATGAAAGAAATAATTTCCCATAAGGTAGAAGCCTGGTTGTTACTACCTTCTCATCAGGCAGAAGCCTAGTTATTCTCTTCCCATAAGGTAAAATCCTGGTTAGAATGGTTGAGGTAACTTCCTAGAATGCAACAACTTGGGTACAAATGTATTTCCTTCAGAGTCCATTTCTTGAGCGTCAGAAGGTCTAATTATCAGTCTCGTCATAGAGCATGGTTTATCAGAGTCTTCAGAATACTGGCTTCATGGTCTGGTTGAATAACTTAAGTCTGGTTGACCCTTGTTCCATAAGCACTTGGTTCCTAAACATAAGTCTGATTCTTATGAACTCAAATCAGTTAGGTTAGAACCTGAAACACTTGGTTAAAAATGATGAACTTTCACAAATTTCTCAGAAATATTACCAAGTCAAAAACTGTTAGAAATATGTTTGGGTCTCATAGTGGAATTAAATATATCAAAATCAATAACTCTTTCTCCCTCTTTGTCATCATTCAAAAAGAAATAAAAAGACAAAGTAAATAAACCAAACTTCATTTCATTAATAACAATCAAGCAAATAAAGAAGTGAAAAAGAAAGCAAAACAAATATAACACAAAATTTTTAAAAACTAAGGTTTAAGAGGGTTTTGGTAGTCTTGATAAGATCTCTTCAAGTAGCCTTTCTATCTTTGACGTTCTTTCCTTCACTTCATAGTTCTCAGTAGCCATATGCTCCAAGTTCTTCAGAATATACTCCTCATAATCAAAAGTTTTCTTGACGCCAGAGTCACTTGTAACTTCATGAGTTGTATCAGAAGAAACCAAGGTAGTATGAACTGGAGGTGGAGGACAATCACTTCTGGAGCAGGAAGCAGAAGAGTAGCAGGAACCTTTTGAAGCAGAGGTTCAACAATACCAGAGAGTCTGTCGTGGAAGTTCCTCTTAATCTTTTTCAGCCAGGAAAACTCCAAATCTTCAGTGCTGACCTCTATTCACCTTCTGAAATTGTTGGTTAGATCACATACTTCAGTGAGGTTCATGTTATTCTTGCAAGCCTCAATGAGAGCATCGAGTCTTCCAATAGCTTCGTCTTCAAATTTCTTAACCAATCCATCTAGGGAAGTAGGACATATGTTTTTGATAGAGTGTCTGGGGGGGGGGGGGCAGCACTTGCAGATTATGGATTAGAGAAGATATGTAAATCACCCAGAGGAATCCTTTTGCTGTAGGTTTCTTCATAGGGGATTTCAACAACTGGGCTTTTAAATGGAGAGATCATGCCCATGTTTTTCAAACTCTTGGAATTGAAGAAATTTCCCACTACATATGCCACTCCTTAGGAGTTTTCATAATCTGTTAGAGAGTCTATCAGGAGGCTCTTCATCAGAATGTTTGAAATAAGCCTACCAAACAGAATCTAGAATTTCATATTTCTGCTTCCATTCCTTGTCTCCTTCACAATATCTCTTAAGAACCGAAAGAGAAGAGCAGGAATGTTCACCTCCATATCAACAACAATAAAGTGAAGAGCATATTGTTGATCAATTCTAGTTCCACTATGAAATAATATCTAAACTAAAATGACACACATTATATATCATAACAAAAACGATAAATATTTACAAAAACTATATATATTTATATCTGATAGTCTAATTAAACATATCCAAAGTGACTCGGAAACTATACAAATTCATTTTTACAACAAACATCAAACATATCAAATAGTTCAATCAATACGGTAACAACTAACAAACCAAAGCAGCATGGCTCATAAAAATCAAAGAAGTAAGTTGCTCAACGTGAGCAGACATCATATAAGTCTTCTTCTATGAATGATGTCTGATCGTTAAACACCTATAAGTTGACCGAAATGTAAAAACACTTAGAATAATAATAATAAACTGTTATTTGGTAAAAATCATG